AAAAAAAAAAAAAAAAGCATAAATGTTTAGGCATAAATAATACCGTACTATTATATTAACTAATTACTTGTTCATATTTAAGATTCCCGTAGCGTTCCTATATAATAAGAATTTAGATAAAATAATAACTAAAAATCAAAATGATAAATAATAATATTAAATCATACTCTTGAATTTGAGTTATTGCATCATTACGCTCCTCCGACATCTTAAGATCTTTCAAATAAACCTAATAGCAAATTTTAAAGATTTCATTTAAAAACAAAAACATAGGAAAATATAAAAATAGCATTTATAGTTAATTACATTGTCATTGTTTCTATCATTATTAGGCATTAAACGTAAGAATTTTGATGACCCGAAAGGGCCATCCATTGGAGAAGCTCCAGCTTCTTCACGCCCCCAAAAGTCCGTAATTAGTTTGTCACATCCAACCAAATTTCTATATTGTTGCCATTGTGGCCGGTTCAATTGGTCTAAATCAAAAGATATCAAAAATAAAAAATAAAAATAAAAAAAAAATAGGAAAAGTAAATTATTATTTTCTTTTAAACTTACCTTTGAAGGTTAACAGATACCAGTCAAGGTTAAATTCATATTTATATTGGATAACTTTTAATACTGGACCTTCCACATCTTCTTTTCTGGCAGGTGGAATATATAGCGGGCTTAAACTAAAATATCAAGAAAAATGATGATTTTCGTACAATATTTACGAGTTGCAACTGAATAATAAACAAGAATTTACAATTCTTTTTTTCCTTCTCTTTTTCTTTTTTTTTCTTTTTTCTTCTTTGGTTTCATATTCTATCAAAATATAACAAAGAGAAAATGAAATATTAGCATTTAATAAAACACGATGAAGACACGATTTATTTTTACGAATGCTAGTCTTTTAGTTTTTGTTGAAAAAAAAAATAAGAAATGCAATAGTTATATAATAACTTTATTTGATTCAAATAAACTTTAATATAGTTAACATAACTTCATTTACGTATAAGCTATAATTATAGGATAATATTAATGAAACATTTTCAAGTAAAAAAATTAGCCGAATGACACATCAATATACTTTATTTTCTTTAATATATAAATATAAATTCGTATTATTATTACGTTAATAGATGTCGTCATGTAAAAAAAAAAAATACAAAAATGGAAAATTTTAATTTAATTATTTGATTAAAGTCCTAATTATCATAATATACACTTGAATCTCCGTTTTTATAAAACTGCTGTCAAAAAATACAATAATTATTCAATTCCAATACACGTGAATTATAAAAATAATTTCTTCGTCATAAGTAGCCTTTGCACTAACCCACGAAAATTTAATCCAACATACGGGAATTGTTATATGTCGCTTTGGAATTCATGTTAATTCTAAATTGACATAAAACTTTTTGGAATCATAATTTGACATAACTTATGTTATATCATGTTCGATATATCCAGAATCCAGACGGTTATGGTACTGATATAAATGAAAAAAAAACATTAAGCAGTATTAAGGTTAAATTTTTACTCCAGTATTATAAGTTTATATCACGGATACCCGAAAAAAAATAACATAAATTTATCAAAATGTATACGTAATAACGATAATGATAAAGTTAATCATTACGTATTAAAATATATCATACTTGATACGTATACTATCTCTATCGCTACATATGATTAACTTATTATCGTTACTGTATACGGTGTTGCATATAATCGTATAGTCAATACCACGAAAGACGTAGCATTGAATAAAAAAAAGGAAAAGGTATACATATATGTATAAAGAGTTGATTATACTAGTTTGTATATTACTTTATATATATACACGGTATTTAATTAATGAAAATTTGATTTACTTTTCAATCGACTGTAAAGGTGACTTGTCCAATATAATATGCGATAATTAATAAGAAAAATCAATTTTTTCGATTCAACTATGTATAATCGACGTAACTAATTAATAATTGATATGAATAGAATAATGCAGTGGCAATAGCAAATCCAAGGAAGAGCAATTGAAAAACAATTCATATGAATTTTATTATATTATAATAAAAATATTATTTTTGAATACCGATATGAAAAAAAAGATCAAAGTGATCACCTATCCAACCTTTTACCTCCCGACACTTTATGCATAACACTATCGCTATATCTAAACAAGTTATTTAATATTAATAAGCATTAATAATTTTTACCTTATTATCTATTTACTGTATTACTTTCTCACGCACATTTATTTTTCCACGCTCTTTAATAGCATTAGCAATAGTTGTTGATGACATCTGCCTAAACCCTAAATTCAGCCAAGTAAAACTTTGTGTAATTATTTCCAGAGTGCATCAACGATGATTGTCCATGCAAACTCAACCAATCCCAATTTTACTATTAATATCCCCTGTAAATTAAACTTTGAGCGAATATATCTCGACAACAACGTGATTAAATTAAATAAAAAAAATTTTAATCAAGAGAATTAAAATAAATAAAAAAATCATCGAATTTGATTAGCTGGTTGTTGAGATAAATTTGCTCAAAGTTAGTAAACAACTTGAATGTCTTAAAAAATTAAAACTAGACCAAATTTTCTTCCAAACTTTGAACAAAGTTATCTCAGCAACCACCTAATCAAACTCGATAAAATTTTTTTTATTTTAATTCTCTGGGACAGTATAATCGAATAAAAAAAAAAAAAATTTATTGAATTTTATCGCGTAGTTGTCGAGATATCTTCAGTTAAACATTTAAAAAACTCAACCCACCTATCAAAATAAAAGCTAAGCCAAATTTTTTTCTAAACTTTGAACGGTAATATCTCAGCAACCACCTAATAAATTCGATGATTTTTTTTTATTTCAATTCTTTGGGACAGTGGAATTTGAATAAAAAAATTCATTGAATTTAATTAGGTAGTTGTCAAGATACCTTCGTTCAAAGTTTTTAAAAAACTTAAAAAACGTCTATTAAAATAAAGTTGTGTTAAATTTTTTTTTAAACTTTAAACAAAGATATCTCGACAACTACCTAATCAAATTCGATGAAATTTTTTTTATTCGAATTATAAAATTAAAGAGAATTGAAATAAAAAAATTTTCACCGAATTTGATCAGGTAGTTGTCGAAATATCTTTGTTCAAAGTTTAGAAAAAATTTAGCGCAATTTTATTTTAATAGACGTTTTTTAAAAACTTTGAACGAAAGTATCTTGACAACTACCTAATCAAATTCAATGAATTTTTTTTATTCAAATTCTACTGTCCCAAAGAATTGAAATAAAAAAAATTTTTCATTGAATTTGATTAGGTGATTGCTGAGATATCATTGTTCAAAGTTTAGAAAAAAATTTGGCGTAGCTTTTATTTTGATAGGTGGGTTGAGTTTTTTAAATGTTTAACTGAAGATATCTTGATAACTTAGTGATAAAATTTAATAAATTTTTTTTTTATTCGGATTATACTGTCAGAGAATTAAAATAAAAAATTTTTTATCGAGTTTGATTAAGTTCAAATTTTAGAAGAAAATATGGTCTAGTTTTAATTTTTTAAGATACAGTATTCAAGTTTGTTTACTAACTTTGAGTGCTAATCAAATTTAATGAATTTTTTATTTTATTTTAATTGGTTGAGTTTTCATCGAACATCGGATTATCATTGAACATCTTGATCACTTAATAATCATCGAACATCGGATTATCTTGATCTCTTAATTAAAACAGATATTACACCTAACCAATAACAGATGGGAATTTTGAATTTCTCTTAAATTTTTATAAACATGTCAAGTAAAGATTTGCTTAAAGAAATTGCTTTTGGACAAAATTTTGAATATGATTCTTTTGAGAACAAGACAGAAATCGGTAAAGGAAGGTTTGGAGTTATGTATAAAGCTTATTTAAAAGATATAAAACAAACTGTGGCTTTGAAGACTTTATATTATTATGACGAAAATTCAATAGGCGATCTTATTAAAAAAGTATATACTATTTTTGCTATAGTACATATTATTCACATTGCAATCATAATCCTTTCTATTTTAACATTAATATTACAATTGCAAGGTTAATAAATGCACAGTTAAACACGATAATATAATCCAATTCTTTGGAATTATCCAAGGCATGTTAATTTTTATAAAATGATAAACATATACGCACCTGTAGTAGTTTTGCACCTATTGTATTTTTTATTATGTTTTTTAGATTTTTATAAAAACTTATAAAAATCTAAAAAATACAATAAAAAATACAATAGGTGCAAAACCACCACAGGTGCGTATATGTAGTGATTTGAACTGAGAAAAAATTCCTTAGTTGGGTAACCGAACCGAAATATTTAATGTCAACTGATTACAACTAATTAAGATTACTTCACGCTTTACCCTCGGAAGTTCTTGGACCTTACTCAAAATTTTATGTTCATTCATTTTCGAACTATTTGCTCTTTCTTGATATCATTTACATTTTGTCAACCGATTATTGATACTTTACTGGTTGTATGGGTCAACTGATTAAGAATTTACTCAACTGGTTACCCGAAATTTATTCAATTCGGTTTGGTTAACCGATTATAGCCCAACTGGTTCAAATCACTAGACTTAAGGTTAGATTTAGAGTTAGAAAAGGTTTTAGGGGCATAAGAACATTTTCACTTAAGCCACCTCTTACTGATTAATTTCCTAATTTTTGAGATATTAAATACATAGATATAAAACATTATAGGTGCATTTTATTAAAAATATTCTTAAATAAGTTATCTAATCATTGAAATGTCTCTTAAAATTCATAAATTAGAGTCTGAAACCAAAACATATATAGTTCTTCAGTATGTGAACAGTGATCTTCAATGTTATTTGAATAATCATTTTTCAGAATTAGATTGGCCAACTAAAATTAGAATGGCAAAAGAAATTTCTGATGGGATTAAATGTTTGCATAGTGCAAATATTGTTCATCGGGATCTTGTAAGTAACTTTTCTTTATTTCTTTTATATGATTATTATTTACTTATTATTAACATACCGGACATACAATATTGATAAAATTTAGTACGATAAGAATATACTAGTACATGGTGGTAAAATGATTATTACAGACTTTGGTTTATCCAAGTTATTAAATAACAGCTCAAAATCTGTAACAAGTAAAGTATATGGAAAGTGGGAATACTCTGATCCATAATACCTCCAAAGTCCGTTTGCATATAAATAGGAAAATCATTCAGATATCTATAGTCTTGGTGTTCTTTTTTGGGAATTGTCAAGTGGTATACCTCCTTTTATAGCTTTGAAAACACGTCAAGTAATCAAAGGTGAACGAGAAACTCCAATTGAAGGAACTCCTATTGATTTCAAAAATCTTTATTGCGCTGCTTGGAATTGTAAACCAGATAAACGTCCTAACATAGAAAAAATTTGTGACGAGTTAAAACATATACAGTTGCAACCAGTTTATAAAAATTTATTTAAAAGATTTGAATATGCTTCTCTTGAGAACAAGACAGAAATCGGTAAAGGAGAGTTTGAAATTATATATAAAGCTTATTTAAAAGATATAAAACAAACTGTGGCTTTGGAGACTTTAGATTATGATGATGATGATTTATTAGACAATTTTATTAGAGATGTATGTATTATTTTTGTTACAATACATTTTATTCACATTGCAATCATAATACTTTATGTTTTAATATTACAAATTACAAGGTTAAACGCACTACTAAAGTTAAATATGATAATATAATAAAATTCTTTGGAATTGCTCATGGCATGTTAAATTTTTATAAAATAGATAAACATATATTCTTAAATATCTAATCATTAAAAAGTCTCTTAAATTCACAAATTAGGTCCTAAAGAAGGACATTATTATATGATTTTTCAGTACGCAAACAATGGAGATCTTCAATGTTATTTGAATGATCATTTTTCAAAATTAGATTGGTCAACTAAAATTAGAATGGCAAAAGAAATTTCTAATGGGATTAATTGCTTGCATAGTTCAAATATTGTTCATCAGAATCTTGTAAGTGACTTTTCTTTATTTCTTTTTATATAATTATTATTATTTACTTATTATTAACATTACTGGACACACAAAATTTAGCACGACAAGAGTATATTAGTACATGATAGTAGACTGATTATTACAGACTTTGGTTTATCCGAGTCATTAGATAACAGTTCAAAATCTATAACAAGTAGAATATATAGAAGATGGGAATATTCTGATCCACAATACCTCCAAAGTCCGCTCACATATAAATGGGACAAGTATTCAGATATCTATAGTCTTGGTGTTCTTTTTTGGGAACTGTCAAGTGGCGTACCTCCTTTTAAAGCTTTGAAAGGTGATCGAGAAACTCCAATTGAAGGAACTCCTGTTGATTTCAAAAATCTTTATTGCGCTGCTTGGAATAGTAAACCAGATAGTTGTCCTGACATCAAAGAAATTTGCAAAAAGTTAGACCATATTCAGTTAGAACTATTTTGTAAAGATTTGTTTAAAAAATTGACTTTTAGACAAAAATTCGAATATACTTCATTTGAGGACAAGAAAAAAATCGGTAAAGGAGGATTTGGAGTTATATATAAAGCTTATTTAAAAGATATAAATCAAACTGTGGCTCTGAAGACTTTAGATCATGATGATGAAAATTCATTAAATGATTTTATTAAAGAAGTATGTGTTATTATTGTTACAGTACATTTTATTCACGTTGCAATCATTATCCTTATATTTTAATACTACAAATTACAAGGTTAAGTGCATTACTAAAGTTGAACACGATAATGTAATACGATTCATTGGAATTACTCAAGGCATGTTAATTTTATAAAATAGATACACATATACTGTATTTTTAAATATCTAGTCATTTAGAAATCTCTTAAATTAGATCCTCAAAAAGAAGTTTATTACATGGTACTTCAGTACGCAAACAGTGGAGATCTTGAATGTTATTTGAAAGCTAATTTTTCAAAATTAGATTGGTTAACTAAAATTAGAATGGCAAAAGAAATTTCTAGCGGGATTAATTGTTTGCATAATGCAGATATTGTTCATCGGGATCTTGTAAGTGATTTTTATTCATTTCTTTTATATAATTATTATTTACTATTAACATACTGGACATTGTCAAAATTTAGCACGATAAGAACATACTAGTACATGGTGATAGAATGATTATTGCAGATTTCGGGTTATCCTTGTCATTGAATAATGACACAAAATCAATTGCAGATAGAGTATATGGAAGATGTGAATATTCTGATCCTAAATACCTCCCAGATCCGTTCAAGTATAAGTGGAATAAGTATTCAGATATCTATAGTCTTGGTGTTCTTTTCTGGGAATTGTCAAGTGGCGAACCTCCTTTTAGAGCTTTGAAAAATAACATAACAATAATGGCATTCCGTCTGGTCAAAGGTGAACGAGAAACTACAATTGAAGGAACTCCTATTGATTTCAAAAATCTTTATGATGCTGCTTGGAATGGTGAACCAGATAAACGTCCTGACATTGAAGAAATTTGTAAAAAGTTAGATGAGGTAGATCACATACAGGTGTTTTATTACTCTTTTATTGAATTTCACAAGAAATGCAATTGTTGAAATCCCAAGTCTTCAACTACACTAAATTATTAAAACAATTTCCTAAATTGCCAGATGTAAGTTTGAACATATATATATTTATTCTTATTTGCTTAATCATAGTGTTAAAATAAAATAATAATACTTTATATAATTAATAATAGAACGCGAGTATAGCATAGTTTAATTAGGAATATCAATAAATTAATGCTAAATAACGACTACATCAACTATTAGGACGTAAGTATAAAGTTTTATCACAGAAATTTGTTATATTAATTCTTAACAATGACTTGACTATCAAATATTTTAATAAATACATCTTTTACGTACCAGCCCTAACTCTAACTCTAACCCTATTACCATTACGTGAGTATAGAATACGATTAATCATATTCAGAATTCAATAATTTATTGGTGCTAAACAATAATATTTCAATTACCAGCTCGTAAGTGTAGTATTAAATTAAAATTTCGCAAAGAATTAATGAAATAATATTTTAAATGAATATATAAATATAAATTATATTACCTTTTAGAAGGTAAATTTAAGATTAGCTGCATATTTTGTTTATAATAACTTGTGCTAAACCATACTTTCAATAATTACATCAACTATCAGTGACATTTTCCAACAGTGAGTATTGATTTGCCAAAATATTTCATAACGTAAATTCATTAAATATGTTCTATATAATTGCATAATAATAAATATACCAAATTAAATAAGAATGTAAGTATAAAATTTGTTACTTTTTAAATTAAAGTTTATATAATGATGAAAATTTAAATGCAACAACTAAATAACTTTCAAATAGTGCGTGAGTATGAAGATGTTATATTAATGTTAATCAGTGAAATTAAATCACGAACATAAAACCTAACTAAGAATTTGTGCTATATAAATTGTTTAAATTAGCACGTGAGTATGAATTTTTTTAGAAATTAGAAATAATCCAATATTTAATATATAAATTGTATCAACTCCCAGGATGTAAGTAAAAAAAAGGAAAAAAAGCTCGAATATTATATTGATTATTTTATTAATATATAAATTATGCATCTTCTAGTTTGTGAGTATTAAGTTCGAATGCATACGTTAATTAGATTTTATATATACTAACAATTATATTTTAACATGTATTAGCAAGTAAGTTCGATTTATATTGAATCAATTTTATGAAGAATTGATTCTAAATAATTTTTAAATTATATCAAACATATAGTGAGTGAGTATAAATTTGATTATATAAATATTTATTTGCTAAACTAAACTAATAAGTCTTACTCAAAAATCATTTGATTCAAATTGTTAAAAATTACAATAAGCGGGTAAATATAATTTTGACAAAGCATATTCTCATTAAATCAGATAATGCTAAATGTTATCTAATTAAATTTCGACTATGTACTAAATCTGAGTCTTATAAAAAATGATTATGCTAATTATAATAATTACTAGATTGTAAGTAGAAAGTTTTGCCATGGCATATTAATTTTTTTCAATGAATTCTTTCTAAAGAATAATTTAATTTACTAGAAAGTAAGTTAAACTACGCATATTCCAGAATTTACAATAAAAATTGGTCTAAACATCCTAATTAATTATCAGTGAGTGAGTATAAATTTTGTTCCTTTGTTAAATTAAGATTAAGTTTCTTATTGCTAACGATTTATAAACTTCACTACATGCAGTGGGTGAGTTAGAATATGATTATGTATGTTCAGATATATATTGTGTATCGGTGCTCAATAATATTTTATCATTGCATAAACTATATCGATCATCAGATTGTAAGTACGAAGTTCGTTACCTGGATTATAAATCGATATAACTGATTATTAATTAATTTACATATTACCAGGAAGTAAGTTTTAAATGTATATTAATTTGTTAAACTAAAACTCATCAAATTATTGCCAAATTATTTAAAATCCCAGAAAGTAAGTTCAAATACAAACTTTGATTTATTTAAATCAGAATTTTACATTAATTTAACGCTAAACTAACTAAATTATCATATAACTACTAGAAAGTAAGTTTAAACATATTAAATATTCGCTCATTATGCAAATAAGATTCGCAATGACTTAAATCATATAAATATACTAGGGAGTAAGTTTGAATACTTGTTATATTAATGAATTCATAATGAATTATTTAACAAGTAATAATAAATAATAAATAGGTTGTGAGTATGAATTTCGTTTTATGTTAGTCTGTTTAATCAAAATAAAAATAATTATTAAACGATTGCAGGAAGTAAGCTTGGATAAAATATTATTTTATACTGAGGTTAAATTGACTTATTTAGATGCTAAATAATATTTCATAAAATTTTTAATTATTAGAAAGTGAGTACAAAGTTCGATCAATATGTTAATTTATAAAATAAATTTTAATTAATTAATATGCAAATTGCATTAACTTGGTAATAGAATGTGAGTATAATTCTTAATTATAATATGAACGTTTTGTTTTTAAATTGTAATTAGACAATACTAAATATTCTTCAAATTATATTAATCAAGTTTGTAAGAATTTCCCAATGGTATAATTATTTTAATCAGGATTAGATAATGAATTATTGCTAACGATACATAAATTGTTAGGGAGTAAGTCTAAATACTTTTATACTAGTTTTAAATCTAAACTTCTAACTAAATAAATGCTTCAAATGATTATTTTATTAAATAGGAAGTTAGTATTGTTTTTGATTATAATTTCACAACAGTTTTATAAATAGCAATTATATAAATTTCATCAATTTCTAGAGCGTGAGTATAGAGATCATTTATGTAAATTATTTGGTTTAAATTTGTTAATTATTTAATAATCTCAACTACAGATGGTATAAAGCTCGATAACACTTTTGTGAAATCAGAATTTCGAATAATTAGTTCTAAATTATGTTTCAAATGATTACATAACTATCAGGAAGTGAGTTTAATTTTATGACCGCTTCTAAGCATAAAGTCCAATTTCTTGAGTATGATTATTCTATAATGAATTAGTACTAATTTATACATATTATATCAAGATCCGACAGTTCGTAAGTATAAAGCTCAATTATTATAATTGCTTATAATTAGAGTAATATTTTAACCATTACATAATATAAATAATATCAACTATTAGTGCTAAAAAGTTAGTATAAATATGATGTATATTTAGTTAAAAATTTCTATATTTATCCATATATTTTATGGATTGCAGATAGTA